TCGTTGGACCCGATCTACTTCCTTTATCAGTATCGAGCTGACCACTTCGTCACTTGTTGAGAGGTACAGCTCTAAAACATCGCCCTCTTCGGGCCGGGTTAAGATTGGTACACTAGCGAGGTATTTCTTGAGCTCATCAAACACGAGTTGGCAGTCTTGGGTCCACTCGAACCCTTTGCCTTTGATTGCTTTGAAGAAAGGTAGGTAGCGGTCTGCCGACTTGGACATAAAGCGGCTCAGGGCGGCTATGTGGCCATTCAACCTCTGGACCTCATTCAATTTTCGGGGTGGTCTCATATCTAGGATGGCCTTAATTTTATCCGGGTTGGCCTCAATGCCACGTCGGTTGACGATGTACCCTAGGAATTTACCCGAGGTAACACCGAAGACACACTTGTTTGGATTTAACTTCATGTTAAATTGTCGCAGAATTTGAAAGACAGAAAGTAAGTCTTGTATTAATTCATGTGAGAATTGGGTTTTGATGACCATGTCGTCTACATAACACTCTATTTTTCTGCCAATTAATGGCTCAAATAGTTTATTTACAAGCCTTTGRWAGGTTGCCYCAGCATTTTTCAATCCGAAGGGCATAACCTTGTAACAATACAGACCAAACTTTGTTATGAAGGCAGTCTTTTCTTCGTCCACCGAGTCCATCCTGATCTGGTTGTAGCCCGAATAGGCGTCTAAGAAACTCAGCAACTCGTGCCCTGAGGTCGCGTCCACTAGGCGGTCGATTCTTGGGAGGGGGAAGCAGTCTTTTGGGCAAGCTCAGTTCAGGTCGGTGTAGTCGACGCACATGCGCCACTTGCCGTTAGCCTTCTTTACCAGAACGGGGTTGGCTACCCAGCTCGGGTAGTGGACTTCTCTTATGAAGTCGGCTGCGAGGAGCTTCCCGACCTCCTCGTCCGCTGCTTTCCATCGCTTTGGGGCTAGGTTGCATTTTTCTGTCTAACGGGCCTAATAGTTCGGATCGCAGGGGTTCCTGGACTGAGACACCGATCTGAAGTGTCCGAGCTGGGTCTTCTGCTAAAGTCGGAATAGCAACTGTTTCTTTCGTGGGTGCAGCTCATTCCTCGCCTTGCTCCGTAGGTCGCTCCAGTTTGAGATTGTTGGCCACCGTGGTCTTTCCCTTGAGGGCGGCGACATAGCACTTGCGAGACTCAAGCTGGTTGCCCCATGCTACCCCCACTCCAAAGTCTGTAGGGAACTTCATCGCCAAATAATAAGTGGAGACCACCGCCCGTAGGGCATGGGTAATCGGTTGGCCTATTATGGCGTTGTACGGGAAGGGGGTCGCGACCACTAAGAAGTCATGGTTGAGCCTTACTACGCTGGGCCATGTGCCGACTTCCACAGGTACTATTATTTTCTCCAGGGGCCTGACTTTTTCTCCAATGAAGGCTACCAAGGGAGTATTCACGGGCCTCAAGTCACTTCCCTGCAGCTGAAGCTGGTTGAACGCGGCTTTGAAGAGGATATCCATCGAGCTACCTGAGTCAACGAGGACGCGCTTGACCTCGAAATCATTGATCCTTACTTTTATGACGAGCGCATCATCGGGGGGGTAGTAGACCCCGCACGTATCGTCATTCGTGAAGAAGATTGGTTCCTCTGTATTCGGCCGCTTTAGAGGATTCTGTTATTCTCTGGCAGCTTTGCGAATTGATGTCCGAGCTGCCGCCGAGGTACAACCCACAGCGATCGAGCCTCCAATTATCATGTGGATGGTGCCCCAAACTGGCCTTTCTTCCGGAGATTCTTACAGTTCTCGATACTATGACCGTGGTGTTTGTGAAAGCTGCAATATAAATTTTTATTCCTTTCATTAGGATTCCCCCTCAGGCGGGGTGGCCACTTCACGTACGGGGCATCCTTGATTGCCATCAGGATTTCGGCCCGCTTAGCATTCAGTGGGGTGTAGTTAGTTTGGTCCGCTACAGGGGCTCGAAATGGCTAACTTGGCTTTGCGCCCCGAGCTGAGTCCTTCTTCTTTCGGCTGTCTCCTTGGTTGGAAAGTTCCCCTTATCTCTTTCTCTTTTCGGGCGCGCTCTTGCCCTTCTGGTTGATCTCCTCTTCCGTGGCTATGAACCTGTCTGCGAGCTTGAGAAATTCAGTTATGGTCGCCGGCTGGTTGACAACCATGTGCCACTTGAATTTCTTGTGCGTCACGCCCTTCTTGGTTGTTGCAAGGCGCACTGCAGGGTCTAGGCGCGGTATCTGCATGCATGCATCGTTGAACCGCTTGATGTAGCCCCGGATAGACTCTCCCTCTCTCTGAACTATACTGAGAAGGCTTTTCTCAGTTTGCGGACACTGCTTGCTGGTGACGAAGTGGGACGTGAAGGCTTGCGCGAACTGTGCCCAGCTTCTTATCGATCCAGGTGCAAGGTTTCGATACCACGTGCGGGCCACTCCTCTGAAAGTGGTGGAGAAGGCCACGCACATGCAAGACTCACTGGCCCTTGCCAGGTGCATCTGTGACTGGAAAGCGTCTACATGATCATTTGGGTCGAACGACCCATCATACTTATCGAGAGAGGGGAGTTTGAAGTCATTGGGCATTGGAACAGCCAGGAGCTCGGGAGACAGGTGATGGAACAGAAAGGAGAGGAGCTTTTACTTCACCCGAGCTTACCTCTTCCCTGTCTTTGAGCTCGGGCAGGTTGTAGGTGGCAGTTCAGCAAGCTCGGCGGCGGCGTCTTTGCTTCTTGGCGGGCTCCGCGTTGGTGCTGCTCGCCTCCGTACTGTCAGGAATAGTTTTCGCAGGAAGCGACTCAGGCTGCTGGTGATAGCTGCGAACGGAGGGGTCCTGCTTAGAGTCTGCAGCCAAGATCTCGAACCGGTTCTCTAGAAGTGGGGCTTCTAACTTCGATTGCTGGGGTGACGTAGGCCTGGCAAGTTGGGATCCTCCTGACCTGACTGCCCGCGGCGAGACCGGAGTGGCTGGTCTTTCCTTCCTACRGCGGAAGAAGGCTTGGCTCTTAGGGGGGTTCTGGCAAGCCTCTTCTTGGCGAGAAGGGCGCTCATTCTGGCGATGAGGCCTAGTTTGTCGCAAGGCCGGGTGCTGAGGAGGGAGCTGAGGCTGAGGCTAAGGCAGCTGAGGGAACTGCTGCTGATAGTGATATTGAGAGACTTGGTGCAGCACCTGCTGCTGGTAGAGCTGAAATTGCTCAAACTGCTGCATCTGGGCTTACATGGCCCGCATGGACTGCTACTGATAGTGATATTGAGAGACTTGGTGCAGCACCTGCTGCTGGTAGAGCTGAAATTGCTCAAACTGCTGCATCTGGGCTTACATGGCCCGCATGGACTGCTACTGATAGTGATATTGAGAAACTTGGTGCAACACCTACTGCTGGTAGAGCTGAAATTGCTCAAACTGATGCATCTAGGCTTGCATGGCCCGCATGGACTGCACCAGGTTGTCGAGCTGGCTCTGGCCTGTCATCGGGGGGACGATAGAAGGCTCAGTGTAGGTTGTCCCGACCGAGAAAGGTAGGGGGACGCTCAAGGGTGCCATTACTTGCGGCACGTTCAGGTTGGGGACTCCATCCGCGAAGAAGGGAATAGTGAACTGCCCAATGCAGACCACAAGAACCTGGAGTTGTTCCCCGGCGATGTCCATCTCCATGTTGTGTCCGGCGTTGCTTGAAGAAGCCATGGGTGCTAAGTCTTAAAAAGGAGTTGTAGAAACTAAGGGGAGGCTTTTGAAGCGTATCCCACAGATGGCGCCAAATGATGGTGTGCGATCCAGTCACTCCTAGCTGGCGGTTGCGTGACTCCTGGGTGGCACCTGAGATGGAGAAGACGAGGAATTCCCGGGGGACTTGCTCGACGGGAACACTCCGATGCTTAAGTTAGAGATCTATGAAAAATGCAAGAAGAATAAAGGGGGCTAAGAGTGCAGATAGCGTGGGTGTCAAGAGATCACCCGCCCTTTGGGATTGGACTACTTATAATAGAACTTTGCCAAATCATGCTCACCTGCCTCTGTCAGCGCAGGTATAACCGCCACTATCGTCCTGCCGCAGCCGTTATAGCCAGGGCTGAGGTGGCACGTGCGAGGCCGTCGCTGCAGGGTACGTACTTGTTAGATGTAGGACATCTTCCAGAGGTGGCGGGCACGACACCGTCTGACAAAAGACGTGGTCGCAGTCTCCAGGTTTGCCAGATACAATTGTCAGGCAGGAGATCTTCCTGTGATAGGCCAAACTGCTCTTCTGTGAGCTACCCTGTACCCAGCTACCCTGCGAGCGACGAGATGCCTGTGGTAAGTTCTGTCGAGCTACCTGTGGCGAGCTACACCAGTGGCGTTGACCCGAGGTGTCTAGAGGCGGATCGGGGTGCTCCTTTTTGGGAATGGCCTAGAACCCACTAGGAGGAGCTCGGGCATTTGGAAAAGTCAGGGGGCCCCGAGCTCGGAGGTAGTTCGGAGCGCCTTAGCCTTGGGAAGAAGGTGCAAGCCAGACGACTCTCGGCGAGTAGCCTAACCCGCCGAGTTGCCAGATTAAACTTGGTGAGCCCTTCCCACCGAGTTGCGACTACACTTGCTGTGCTGTCACGCTGAATCATCGCTTAAGCAAGGTCACACCCACGTGTCCCCGTGCTACGAGGTCAGGCCAAATCACCCTCCATCAAAGTGGTTTACTCTTCAGAGTAGTTTGATCATACAAATTGATTAAAAACTTATAATGATAATTTCCATGCTCCATAGATGCTTAAAAAATAGGGAGAAGTACTGACAGGCCCAATGCAGATTTTTGATTTTCAATGCGGAGTTATAAACATCCAAAATGTCAAAACCCCCTATTCTATATATCAATGCCCGCCTTAAATTAGCATCAATTCCGAGCCGACACCCAACCCAACTTTGTGCCTAAAAATTTTGACCCTAGGCTGAACCGTCATTATCCCCAACGGTGACTTGAAGAGAAATGTGAAAAGGTTATGGTGAGTTTTAAATAATATGAAAAGCGTATCCGTAACCGATACGTATCGGAGCTTACCAATAACAGAGGCAGTGTCATTTGCTTTACTGATCTCTCGTTCGTTTTCCTTCCTGGTATGGAGGATGATGGAACTTTCAGTACTCAATCAGTTTATCATCTCTACTCACATGGGTCTCTTCTCTTATCCCCATAAGACCTACCAATTAACAGCAGCTCCGGTTTCATATTTTAGAACTGGTTCACCGTTCCAGCGGTTGGTATCATTTCCAAATCCCTCAAGAGAACAACCTAACAGGAGTTCTGCGAGATGGGGCATCAAAACCACCGTAGCTTGTTTTGGGGAAAAGATGGCTGATGGTTATTCTCCAACAAAAGAACTCCGACGGATTCTTGAGTCTCCAGGGATTCATCAGGGCCCAGCTTGTTTCGATGCTCTCAGCGCGAAGCTGGTGGAAAGAGCAGGATTTGAGTTCTGTTTTACAAGTGGTATGTGTTTGGTTATACATTTTAGTGCTCTTCCAGCCTTGTTTAGACAAGGAACGGAAAGGCTTTTATTCCGGTTGTTTCCTAAGATAAAGTTTTGTGCTTGATTTTTATTCTAGTTTGATATTTTAGTAACTTTTACGCATGACATCGCGGTTCAGGGATTTGTTTTTTTAGTTTCGTTGTTTATCTTTGAAAATCTTGGGGCTTCATTTATTTCCTTGTATTTTTATACTGTATTTGATGAACTTTCTTGACTTCTCTCTAAATTTTTACCACCATTTCCCAAAAGGAGGGACTCTGTATTTTTGATGTATTTTGGATTCTCTTTTAGCGATATAAGGGGTTAGACCCAGAAGAAATGTGATCACGTGAAGAAGCAGAAGAGAAAGTAGGGGTAGAATTTCTATTAGAAGAAACTACCAAAAGAAATAATTTGGAACATTTAAGTTTGAAAATGATGTTGTTAGGGAAATGAAATGTCTTCCCCCTAATGGTACTTGGACGAGATTTATATTTACTAGAAATTTTCATCTTCATCTTGTTTGCGCTCTCTCTCTCTCTCTTGAGGAGAAAAAAAAAAGAAATAGCACAAACAAAGTTGAAGCTCAAGTTTCTTATTCTGGCTCTTGTTTACTTCAGGATTTTCGGTCTCTGCTGCTAGGTTGGGATTACCAGACGTGGGCCTTATTTCCTACGGAGAAATGGTTGATCAGGGGCATCAGATCACACAAGCTGTGTCTATCCCTGTAATTGGAGATGGAGATAATGGATACGGGAATGCAATGAATGTCAAGAGAACTGTCAAAGGATTCATAAAGGCTGGCTTTTCAGGGATTATTCTCGAAGATCAGGTTCATATTCTGTAACTTGCATTTCTTTTCTTTGAGTAGCTATGTAGGCTATGTTTAGTGTCGGTGTGTGAAGTTTGTTTTAATCTGAGCCAGTGGTATCGACCTAATTGTTCCAATGCACCTACTGTAGCCTGCTTTTCATTTTCATTTTCCTTTTTTTAATATAAATGTGGTGTTCAATCTCTTTAGAGGCAGATATGCAGTTTTTCATGTTGTATTGAAGGTATTTTGGCAGGTGTTTACCAGTGGTTCGTTTCATATGGATTATGGGATTGTTTAGTAGTTTTGGACTCCACTACAGTGTAAGAGTTATATTTGGGAGTTGGTGAAATTTCCATTTTAATTTTATCGACTAGGATGATGGTTTTGTTAAGGGCTTTCTTTGGTGCATGAGTGAAGTGGTAGGCAAAGACTGAGGGAAAAGATTATGGGATGAGTGAAAAGGACAGAGCATAGATATATGTTTCCATTTATGGAACATATGACAAAATTTCAATGTGGTCTCTCTTTATCTCTATATCTCTTCGGGGGAGGGATGAGGCAGGTTTTCTTCTAGTATGCGTGAATTCTCTGCTTCTTGGACAATTTTCTGGAAGGGCCACATTTTATGTAAAAACAAGAATCTGTCAGTAATGAGAATATTGGTGAGTGTTGTAATTTTGCCATTTTTCTGGGGCAGGAGCGTCCATCACCACAAGCCATTTTGAGGGTTATGATTCTGTCTACCCTCTCTCTAACTAACATCCCTTCATTATGGGCCATTTCTTTTTTCTTGAGAATATGTGGTTGGAGGAATAGGAGTTTGTGATCCTATTTGAAGGTTCAACGGTTGGCTCCTATCTTGCATTTCGAAAAGAAATATGAGAATAAACTAAAGGTCACTAAGGAGAGTTTGAATGCATAGAGTTTGGTGYCATTTGGAAATTTTAACTGAATGAAAATAAAGATTTCAAGGAGATTGAAGAACTTAATGGGAAAGTAAGTGGAAGAGCAATTTTCTGCGACTGAA